CCCGGATCCTTTGTTCATTGAAAGGTGTTTCCAAAGTTCTACTATCAAACCACGATTCCTACAGCCCGTTAGCTTATAAAAAGCCTGTTGTTATTGGCGAATGAAGGCTAACCAATTGGTTACGGGACACACTCGTCCTGTTTTGCCTCGAGGATCACTCTCAAGCCTCCGCCCTCCCCAGCGGCCGCACAGCGGCTAATAGTGTATGCAAATTAGCAATGCCAGTCACGATGAGAGGACTGGAATGGCTGTTTCTGGCTTAGTAACCGTCATCCTTTAACCGTATCCAGCCCCGGGTAGTGTATCAACCGAGGCTCGAACCGATAACGCGTTGATTAAAAGTCCCACGTTCTAATCCTTGGACCAGGAGCTCGTTGTCTTGGCGATTTAGATCCAGCATACTGACATTGGCGGATGAACGTTCACCAGTCGGTTATGGTTGAGCATGGCTGGTTGATGGCGGCTAATAAGCCAAAAATGTCCATTCCTGTGTCCCTTGTTTTCTTCGGCAGTGTTCATTCGTTGTCATTTTTGTGCATTTTTATTCGAAATAGCGAAAATAAATATTCGGGGAGCATCTTCCTCTCACGCGGAAATATGTCTAATCACTTCGCATTCCATTATGGTATAAGAAGCTAGGGTAAATGCGCATATACTCTGTAGGTATAAAATTGACCATTAGTGGGGTCATTAAATGTTCTTTGTAGATGGCACGTTAGGTTCAAAAATGTAAACACACCAGTAGTCATTATTGAAATTCCACACAACTACGCACATTTTACCAGCCACTTCCAAATCCAGTACTGACTATTACTTTTTTTCAATGCTTACAATTTTCCAAAAATTATCACCTTGAGGTGTCAATTTGAGCTCACCAAAAATAGAAGTTAAAAAATGAGCATAAAAATGACAATGTAGCACCATTTCGTGGACTTGCCTTCATATCTTGATACTACGAAGTACAGCTAAGGTGTTATTTTGTGATATCGGTTAATACTTTTCCTCAACTCCACACCTTCCGAAATCTTTCTAAAGTCCATTATATTCACATTATTTTTAGTCTACTCACTGAAATACTGAAAATGCAAACCGATTCTTGTATACTGGAGACTGGTTCGATGTAGAAGCGTTTCTTGTGGAAGTAATACCTTGAGTTTTTTAAAGTGCAGATCTGTTGCTTCGTCAAGTTTTGCCAAAACCTCCAGAGTAGGTTTTCCTTCTTCCAGTAGCAAAATTGCTTGTAGGTAGATGATCATCTAAAATAAAATAAACACCTAAATTAACCTCGGCCGAGTCTCTAATTCATCATGCTCTTTATATATAGCAATTCAGCCACTCTTATGTGAGTTGTGTTACTGACTGGCCAACATCCTAAATATCGCATTCTTTTAAACCGTCCTTCTAATTTATTTATTTAAAAGGCGAAAGTGAGATTGGTCATGCACTGACCGAAGAGGAATTTCTGGAGTCATATTTCAAATCGATATCAATAGTAATAATATTTAGTTCCGAAATATGCGGGTGAAAGGTAGGCCTTTACAAGCACATAAGCAGGAGTGCCTTTCGCCACAGTTCAAAAGTATGATTTATCTTATGTAAGAAGGAACGTGTATTATGTTCAACAGCCTTACTAGTTTTGGCTCGTTATAAATTTTTAGCACGGTGGAGATAAACATTACTCAAAAAGGAGGCATGATGAGCCCACTCGCGACCAACCATAGCGATATAGCAGTTGTGCACAACTACGAGCCGGGAACTGGGTCCTTCAAGAGCAACAATCACATTTATGAAGTATTAATCAATGAGGTTTCCTTGTTAACTCTACATCAGGTCAGATTACTTGATAGAAGTAAACTAAACGTTTGCGTGGTAAAGCAAGCAGTTGTGCTGAACAGCACTATGCCGAGCACTTTGACTTATGTTATTCCCTGTTGTCACTAAAATTGCGCAGGCAGTTAACCTGGGTATCTGTATGTCCGCAAGACTGGGTTAATTCTTCCGTACTCCTGAAGATGTGGAATTTTAATGGGTCAGGAGCATGCTTTTGAATACTGTGGTAGACGCATTTCCTAGCATCCAGATTGGTGACTTTTGAACTGTGGACCAGAACCAATTGAAACGGTAAACTAATCGTAAAACTCTTTTGGTACTCAAAAATCGCCAGTAGTTGTAATAGTGTCTTACACAATTCCCTTAAAGGTATTCAGTCATTCGGCTCATGGAACTGTGAGAACGAGATAGGTCTTTCGTAGAGTGTTAATGTTCATATTTTTGACCACAAACCTTTATGAGACAAGAAAATAGGTCAACTAGTCCTCATATAGAGTGTTTTCTGACATCAGATTATTGTCGAAATCTGGTTCTTGTAGAGATGTCAATTCTGCATGTATAGTTAGATAGCCGATCATTAGTACTAGGGCTAAACCTGATCAAGCCATCAGCGCATAGTTTCGATTATGGTATAATAGGTTACAACGTTTCTCAGATTGAATTTTACCGATTCCCGTCACCATAGAATAAGTATTCGAGTAGACGGCATAAAAAGCGCGTAGTTGAGGGGCAAATCAGGGGGAATTAGGTTGGCGTTTTTCCAGTAAAGTTATCAATGCGACCAGCCCTCTGATTCGGACGTCAGAGAACCGGAGTACTTCGAAGCTGTTTATCTTTTCGTAGTGGATAAATGCTATCGGAGAATGGGTGTCGCCCAGTTATCAGGACAGATATGTTGCCGTAAAAGGCCCTGCAAATATAACGGACGGGAAAAATGAAGCCAGATAATGTAGAGTTCTACATTGAGCCAAGGAGTGTTAAGTTTTTTATGGTATTGTTAACAATATTTACGCATTTTTAGAGCGCAACAGAAGAAAGAACGCGGGTAATTTTTATGAACATAGAACTTACAGGCGAACTTCCAATGGTAGGTTGTAATTCTTCCAGGAGTTCTAATTGCAGTTTAGCGTCCTTCAGGCAATTTTGCATTATTTGACAGTTTACAATGCCTGCAAATTCAAAAATATATCATAAAAGACACAAAAATGGCAAATAGTCCACTTATTTTCCACAAATTTACGTACTGCACATAGTCTCCAAACTTGATTCGTTCAATTTCATGGCCTTTTTTAGATATCTCATTGCTTCTTTGTGACTGCCTTGGGCAAAAGATATTTTTGCCATTGTGAAAATTGAAGAAAAGCTGTTCGGTGATATCTCTAAGGCACGTTCGGCAAACTGATAGGCCTTCTTCAGCAGTCGCGCGTTCCTTCCCGACTGAAGTAGATAAAGAGGATGGCAAGCAAGGCTTTACAAGTAACTTCAAATTTTCTATCAAGATTCGCACTTTTATTTATTTTAGAGGTTTTAAACTGGAAAGATAACGGAAGGTTTAAAAGCCTATTGGATTATACTGATGAGAAGCAGTACGATGTTTAAATACTGAATGGAGTTTGGACTAAACATGCTGTCAGTAATCGATCTAATGCAATGTACTTTAGATTAATAATGATTAATTAAGTAGAACTGCAATACTTAAAGCGTGGAGCATAATATTAACACGCTTCAGACACATCAAGATACCTTAGGCACTATTTTAACTAAAAAGGCCTGTCCGTTTAGAAAGTTTATAGTTCCATGGAGATTAGGATATAATCAAAGACTCTTGAGGTTGTTTAAAGTGAGATACTGCTGTCCCAATCAGTTTTTGGTTTCAAGTAGCCTCTGGGCAACAGTGCATACAATTTATCTCTTTTGTTTATAGGTGGATGAATCGTCTGCTTTATTTTAACAACTGGCTTGCCTATTACATGTCTTGTTCTATTTGTGCGCTCATATTTTATTTAAAAAACTTTGATTTTTTCTAGACATCATCTAATTATGCCCCATTATTCGGAGAGATATAGACTACGAATAGTCTTAAGAACATGATTTGGTATTGTATAAGCTTAGTTATGCTGATATAATAATGACCTTATCCTGGTCGACTTTAGAACTGAAGTTATATCACAACTGCTATGCTCTTCAAGACCATCGTTTAGTTGAAATAATCAAACACAAAGAAATAAGTGAAACCTCCTTTCCTCAAACGTACCAATTTGTATATAACGTTCGCCATTTGTTCGAACTGATATCTGTTGTTCAATTCCAATGCACATAATAGATTGTAATGCTTATCCAGACTACATAGGACCTTCATGTCACAGTTGAATAAGTTCGCAAACGTTTTACTTGCATATAGTTTCCTCCCCGACATAGTGCATGAAAAACTTTGTATTTTGATGCCTCGACACATTTAGCATCAACATCCAGGCATCTACCTGATATATTATTTAATGAAAACTAACCTAGAGGCCACATCAAGAGCACGTTCCCATTGGCCCATGGCCAAAAGCACGTCCATCTTCTCAACTAAAGCTGGTATAAATTCTGGGTAATGCATTATCATATCATTAAGACGGTCTAGTGAAGTTGAGAAGTCTCTTATTGATCTGTAATATCTTGCAAGTCCAAACAGGTCTTCCTTGCTTTCCTCGCTGGAAAATTTTACTTTACTTGTTTACTGATTTACCTGGATGCAGACTTAAAATATGATATCGCGTCCGTCCTCGAGTCCTTGTTTGTGTTTGCTTGTAAAATCAAGCCATACAAATATTTGGCCTAAAAATTATCAATTGGTATTTACCGACCTTATTAGATAAAGGAGACGTTTTCAGTGATCTTTCTGCAAATTCGCGGGCCTTGTCATATTTCGACAAACTCAGCATGCACACACCGGAGTAGTAAAGAGACTGACAGTAATAGAAAAACGCCTATTACCTGTTCAGTTGCAGTTTTTCGAATAATTTTTATCTTCGTTTCCAATTCGGTAATCCTTTCTTTTTCTACAATTCGTAAAATAGAGACACGTCTGCAAACCAGCATCAGGCATATTCTTATAGGCATGAACCATGCAGATCAGTGATGCCAATTTGAAATCATCCTCTTCCTTTATATCGTTTAACAACATTAATGCCTGTTCATGTTGTTCTATGAATTTTCAATAAGATGCTCATCAAAAAGTCACCCTCAAGAAGCAATGCCAACGCCTGAATAAATTTAAGATCTTTCTCAAATAAGGACGCTTTTGTGACCTTAAGAGTCTTTTTAATGACGGTGCCAGTGCATTTTCGGGTTAGTAGGAATAATGCCTCACACTGAAAGTTAGTTAAACCGGGGGTGAACGAACCATATACCCGTCCATTATGTATTATTGTTTTTAGTTATATTCCCGCACGTGCAATATTTACAATAACGACGATTGTAACAAAACGTCGTCTTTTAGTTGAATCAGTCGATTTTCAGTTTCAGTGAAGAAATTCACACAGTATGCCCTCGGCAAGAAGGTACATACCTATCAACAATTAACAAAGGCTCAAAGATGTCTGTGTAGATTGCAATCCATCCGAGCACTCAAGTGCTCAATGTGACAAATTACGGTAGAAATATAAAGGAATGAATGGCAAGAAAGTCGACAAACCCCAAATAAGACAACACAACCTACCGCGAAAATGTATGCCAGTATTGCACATTGCAGTACAGCCAACATACATGCTATGCAATATAAAGGGTGAGGTGAAGATAAATTTCCAAAAAGTCACTTTAAGTCACTTTATTAAGGGAAGATGGCTTTCTCCCTTGAGCTCCCTATTCATATCCAAAAATTGCAACAGAGTTCAACCTCAACAATAGTTCATGATAAAAATGTAGGCTTTACATCAGCGATAGGTGCGAGCCAGTTGCAAACTGCTGCTACTGACACTATATTCATTATATCTGTCACAGTTTCTCAGCAAATGTGAACCAAGTTGGCGTTTAAAAACGTCAAAGGTATATGAGAGGACAATCTCGTCAGGGAGTCCGTTCCACGCTCCGACGACCCTCTGCCAGAAGGCGTTCCGTCGAACGTCCATATGGGCCGGCTCCCTCTGCAGGTTAAAGGGATGACGGCTAAGATCTACCGAAGCTATAAAATATCCAATAAGGTATCAATAACTGCTGCAATGGAAATAGCGTACAAGAGCCATAACTCCGTACTTTAAGCAGTATTCCAGGCGAAGTCTTGCAAGACCTCCGTTTCTAAAACACTTGCATGCATGTCGTCTTCACGCTGTTGCGAGTTTTGCTGTCTAGAAGAATACTGCCAATTCGAAGAACTAATGCAAATAGATAACTAGTTTTACTCTGCACGCATACTGTTGCATTCACAGTAAAAAAAGTCAAGTGAATTTTGGAATAACTAATATATATGCTTCAATGAGGTCAGTTTGCAAAAAATATGTTACAGGGCGTAGGACATTTGTACCTTTTTCAATTTTTAGTTTTGTTTATATGCAAGTACATATATCGTTGTTTGAATAAACGCATTTGCTGCTACCTGTTCGATGTGCAAGTGTGCAAAGCGACTTCTCTGGTGTGACTGTTGACCGTTCAGAAAGTGTGCTTGAGGTGAACAGACGCTAAAATGCTCCTCCCATTTTAAGCCCTCGATCATGGACCTGAAATATATCACAGAAGGCATAAAAAGGTTGCACTTCTCCAGACGTAGATGGAAACCATATTGCTGAATCTGTCTGAGCGCGGTCTCCAAGCGTTGCAACAATTCATCTGGATTTGAATCAGTGACGATGGTAGCATCCAGATAGGCCGTGGCTCCTTCAATGCCCCTCAGCATGGTGTCCATGGGTTGCTGGAAGCTGGCCGGAGCAGTATTAAACCAGAATGGAACACCGGTCAATTGGAACAGTAATTGATGGGTATTGAGGTATGCATCAGATAGATCAAATTTAACGAAACAATTTCTGACACTCAACTTAGCAAATAGAACTTCCGGTACGGGCAAGGGCCATGCAGAGTAATTGACTGGTGGAAGAAGACCATCTCGTTGAATACGATCAAGATCTTGGTCGACCACAGTAACTGCAGCATAAGGAACTGATCTTTTGGTCGGAAGACAGCCTCCGAATTTGATGGAAGTTGGAGAGTGACCTTCATCTTGTTGCACCAGCCAAGACCGTCTTGAAAAACTGGATCAAAATTCGCCTGTATGGTTGACATCAGCTTTGTCACCAGCTAATTCCATTTGGCGGGGCTTGGCCAAGTTGGCTGCACACGATTGCGGTTAAGTGGGAATCACAGAAGACCGATTTTCTCGATCCAGTCAAGGCCAACCAAGTTAAGGTGCGGGGGTTGGTAAGGTAACACGTTCCTTTGAATTGAGTGCCATCAAGAGAAACGTCCCATTCAAGCTGGCCTGTGAGCCGCACAAATCCTCCAGAAACATTCACAGGCTTTTTGTCCGATGTGATCATTGGAGGCCGTCCAATCACCTGCCAAGTGTACCTAAAGATGACGCTGGTGTCTGAGGTCGTGTCAAACTGAAGTTCTGCTGGTTTGCCATTGATAGTAATCGTAAGGTACTTCCTGCGTGCCTCAAATTCAGTCTTGGAAGGGACTAGAATCGAGTAATACTTAGCGTGGTTGGGATATCTCGTCTTCGTATTGCTTGCCCTTCATTTAGGGGCTGGCATAGCGGGCAGTGATCTTCCTTATGCCCTCGTTTACGGCATTACTGACAAATATGCTTCTTGAACAGGCAGAAATGAACGAAATGCTAGTCACAGCACTGCCAGCGTGCTGTGGGTGGCTTTCTGAATGTGAAGTCTTGGGGATTCTATGAGGACATTAACTTCGTGCGAGTGAGAGCATGAACTCTGGTGGCGGCAACCGAGGAGCTGGATTGCTCCACGATGGCGAAATCATGCTTAAGATTCTTGAGCCGCTGACACTCGGCCGTCAATTTCCGCAGGGTTGAGTCGAGGTCTACTTCAATTTCAGTGGACAGGCGTGTCCTGATTTCAGCATCGCGAGGTGACTACAGAGAGCTGAGAATGATGTGGCACTGGAATTGGTCTTCTATCATCTCTCGTCGTTTGAACCCTTCACACTAACGGTTGACGATGCTGTTAGGAGGGGCCCAACGGCTAGCATGGAAGCAGCAAGTAGCCGCGTCCATAATAGGCTATCGATCGGCCTATGCGCGAGCTAACACATCATGCTAGACAATAAATCAATAATTCAGTAG